TATATATATATATAGTTATATAAGAAATTAATTTTCATCATCAGTTTGTAGGCTCAGACTCATTTACTTTACTGCCATTTCTCTACATTTTCAGATATTTGTACTGTGGTAGATACTTATTCAATCTCTGAAAGAGCCTTCACAAACCTGAGCAATTCAGGGAAGTACTGTAAACATCATCTAGGGCTAAAACAAAGCCATGTCTGTGTCCCTTCAGAAGGAAATTCTTCAAATATTTCCGTAACACATTTTTAAAGGGGCCAAGTTAGTACAAGTAGAAGAGTTTTACTTGCTTGTTCTTATCAAACAGCACTGTCTATTTCAATGGATAGTTGTTATGTGCCATTAAGTTGGACCTGACTCATAGCAACCCCTCCTTGGGTTTCCAAGGAAGTATCCCTACAGAAGTAGATTGCCCCATCTTCCTTCCAATGGACTAGGTACCAAATAATCTTTCACCAGTTATCTAACGAATGGCTTATAGAAAACTGAGTTAACTGACACCATGAATTCCATGCATTCCCGAGGTCATTTGTTTATTCACTGTTTGTTGTAATTAACGTTTACACACTGATGTCTCAACATTTGCCCATCTGGGCCATTCCTTAACCAGTCTGTCATCACCATTACTACTTCTTCTAAGTGGACTTAGCATCATCCATAGCATAGTCCATAACTGAGTTTTCTGAATGGGAAATAAGCAACTATCTGCAGTTGATCACTACTGGTGCAAATGCTTAGTAGATTGAGAAGAAATATTTTAATACTGAAGGTAAAGACTTTCCCTATTTTTTTTTTTAAGTAATCTTAAACAGGAGCTCTGGTAGCATAGTGCCTAAGGCACTTGACTGCTAACCAGAAGACTGGTGGCTCAAACAGACCAGCCGCTCCTCGGAAGGAAGGTTGGGCAATCTACTTCTGTAGCGATACGCCTCGGAAACCCAAGGAGGGGTCACTATGAGTTGGGCTCAACTCGATGGCACATAACAACAACATAAACAGGAAAAAAAAAAATCAAACATTTTAATTTTGCCATAGAATTGATGCCAACTCATGATGACTCCATATGTTACAGAGAAGAAATTAAGTTCCATGTGTTTCCTTGGCTGAAACCTTTACAGAAGCATATCATCACCATGCTTTTTTTCCATGGAACAACTCAGTGGGTTCAAACTGCCAATCTTTTGGTTAGTAGCCAAGAGCCCCTCACCTTGAACACAGTTGGGGCTAAATTAAAGTCTGTGGACAAAATACATGGAAGATTGAAAAATAAAAGCTCTTATATATAATACCAATTTCTGAACAGCTACAGCAATGCCCTTAAGAAAGTTTCTAGTTTCTTCATCACATTTAAAATAGTCACTCTGCAGCGATTGTTCTACAAAAAAAAGGAAGAAAATTAAAATCTCTTATTCATCTGTCCAAATCAAGAGTTCAAGACTACCTGTATTATTGAAAATGACCTTGGATACATGTGAATAATTTAGTCCCATCAAAGGTCAATATTCTTTATAGTAATATTCATCCAAGGCTATTTCATAAGAATTGTGACATTAAATTAATTCACCTAAAAAGGGGGAAAAAAAAGATACCACCCAAATTAACAGTAACATTTATGATCTAGCTCACTTACTCAGCTAGAAACTACACCTTCTATCTCTGAATTTATATAGCTTTTTACATGATCTCTTTTGTACTTGCTGCTTCCTATTTTATGATACTCTAATTTATGTTATATTTTATGCTCCTTGAGAACAAACTCCTCAGTACTTATCTTTGCATCTCTCATGGTACAAAGAAGGGATCCGAACAGGTTAAGACAGAGAATTAATAAATATTTTATGAAAAGGATAAATATAACATGCCTATGGTAGGTTTGATTAAAGTTGGTCACATATATATAATCAAAGTCATGTCACTTCTTTAAGGTCACACAGCAGACCAGTGGTAGAGTTTATATTCAACTGGTGTGACTCCAGACTTCATGTCCTTAAAAGTCATACTCACCATTTAGAAGAGTAAATAGTCACTTCTGCCCTGTGTTTCAGGGAACTTGGACTCTCTTAAACTAAGCTCTCAAACTAAGTGACCAACACTTACTGAGTTTGTGAGTGAGTGTACGCTAGAGACAGACTGGGCATTGCAAGCTAGCTCCTTTCCTTTTAAAAAAAAAAAAAATGAGCATGAACTTGTTCCTGCTTGCAGAGGGGTTGCAGAGCTACATATTTTATAACTCATCCTCAGGGCATGAAGACTTAATGAAGTTTTCTCCTATGAAAATTTTTCTGCAGGTTCACAAATTATTAGCAGAAAAAGATATTTGTGCATAAACACTGGAGTTGAATGAGCATGCTGATCTAGATATAGTAAAGAGAGCTCAAGACTAGCTTTATCACTGACAACGACCTTGGAATACATGTAATTTAGCCTCTTCAGTAGTCAACATTCTTTATAATACTTGTCCAAACCTATCTCACAAAAAAATGGTGACATTAAATTAGTTCATCTAAAAAGAAAAAATATATATATATCAAATTAACAGTAATATTATAATAGAAACAGTATGATTATCTTTATATAGGGAAAAAATGAGATGCCGGTGTTTGGCCTAAATGGTTTTTGACATGAATAAGAAATACCCGTTCTTGGAATGTATCTTACCCTAAACTTATGTGACTTAATTACAAGCTCACCTCTTTAACTGAAGCATTATTTTAACCTGGCCCAAATCAAGATCGTTTCCTGTCCATATGTCCTAAACATCCTTCTCTAGGTAACAGTGCAGCAGGATCTAATTTTCTTTGCCTAATATAACAGGAAACAGGAGCCTCTTATACACACCTTTTCCTATTTGTGTGTTAAACTCTCCAGTTTTCCCTGGCAAAATGTTGGAGGAAATTTACTTGCAAAGGAAAGGCGGAAGGGGACAAGCAGAAATCCAATGCATAATCTAAAGGCAGGTGGGTGGGCTAGTTGCGGGCAACAGGCAAGAGAGTGGAAGAGCAGTACTCTGGGGGTCTGGGATCTGTCACCAGCCACTACTTTAAGCTGGGACGACTCACTTCAACAGCACTAGTTGAAGCTCTAGTAGCATGGTGGCTAAGGCACTTGACTGCTAACCAGGAGCCTGGAGGTTCAAACCCACCAGCCACTCTTCGTAAGGAAGATGGGGAAATCTACTTCCGTAGTGATACTGCCTCGGCAACCCAAGGAGGGGTCGCTACGAGTCGGGGCCAACTTGACGGCACATAACAACAACGAGTAGGAAGGGCCAGCCACTTGGATCCCCTCCCCCTCCCGCCAGTCTCCAAAGAGCGAGGGAGGCTCTCAGCCTGGGCCAAGAATGCTCTGGGCTCCCTGAGGAAGGTCTCCGTTGAGGGTTCCCGCTAAGGGCCGATTCGGCGCCACTGAGCGGCGCCACCTCAGTGGGGACGTCTTTCTTGGCGTCTGCAAGCCTCTCACCCACGACTAAGAGCTGCTCCAGCGCAGCGGTGGCGACCGAGGAGCCCAGGGAGGCGGGGACAGTACATAACTCCAGGGAAAGGCCGGTGGAGACGCCAACTCGTCTTGTCTTTTCCGCGATGGTCCGCCGCGCCTTGTCTCGGATCCCTTTCTCAGAGGCGCAGTCGCTCAGTGCCATTTTGCTGCTGTTGCGCCGCGCGGAGGCGGCCAGAGCTACGGCGGCTGGTTACCACAGGCAACGGAATCGCTGAGGTCCCGGGCGCCCCCTGGTGACCCGCGTTGGGGTAGTAACCTCGCCCCTTCTCGGATTTTATTCACTGACATTAAGCGGCCCTAGACGAGTGAGTCCCTTTTTGACTGTCCTCCCGGCTTTTGCATTTCCACTTCTTTAGTCCATGTCTTGTACCTTTCTCGTGGACCACTCAATTCAATAATGATCACGTTTTGAGCGTGTATTTGTGGCAGGTCGTACCCTAGGGCTATATATACAGTAGCTTGCAGTAAGCAGATTCACAACTTTGTGAAGTAAGTGTGTTTTCAGTTTCCATTTTTACACACTAGGAAACTGAGGCAGGGATGACTAAGTGAACTTCCCAGGGCCACAAGAGGATGCTTTTAAGGTGGGGTCTGTATGACTCCACTATGCTACAAAACACGCCTCTGCACTCTTTAAGAACTTTCCCTGTATTCATCACTGATTACATTTTGTCTTGAAACCTACTGAATTTGTTTTTGCCTCTGCCTTGCCTGTCTTTCTGTTAGACTGTGAACCCTTTGACGGCAGGGCTGGACATGTCTGCTTTTTCTGCATCTCCAAAAGTCAGCCCAGCCTCAGGCTCACATTGAGTGTGACTGTTGTTCCCTTTCCTATGTCAGGTTTTAGAGCAGCAACAGTGGTTTTCCCCTTCCCCTTTTTTCTTTGTTGATGGTGAAATTGAAATCAAGATAATAATAACAATAGCTATAATTTGTGAATGCTTATTATATTCCAGGCACTGGTTTAAGTACTTTATCTACTCACTCACTGTCCTGGAGTTGTACCCTACTCATAGTGACCCCTCCTTGGATCTCCCAGGCGATATCACTACAGAAGTAGATTGTCCAGTCTTCCTTCCAAGGAGTGGCTGGTGGGTTTGAACCACCAGCCTTCTGATTACCAGTCAAATGCCTTAGGCATTACGCCGCCAGAGCTCCCACTTTACCTACAGTAGCTCATGTAACTCTCATAACAACTCTTTGAGGTAGAGATTATTTTCCTACTTCGAGAATGGGGACGTTGAGCCTATGTCCTGAGCCACTGGGCTACACTGCCTTGGAAGGGACTCAGCGCACTGATATCAGAGCTAGTTCTAAAATCCAGGCATCTTCCCCCAGAGTGAGCCATGTTCTAGCCTTGTACACCTTCCTTCTCCTCTTATACTACATTGGTCTGTTGCCATTCAGATCCACTCATGCCCTTCTGTGCTCTCCTGTGTGTGCCAAGGGCTAGAAGCCTGGAAACTACATTCCCCAAACTCTCTTGCCAGCTAGTTTCCAGTTAAGCTTTGCCAGTGAGAGACCCTGGTGGGAAATTAGAAGGCAAAGACACCAATTTGTTTTTGCCAATGTCAGTTTCAAGCCACCGAAAGTGACTACTGGGTCCTGTAGTTTTTGTGGCATGGCTCCAGAAGTGGCAGCAATGGGAATAGTTCGTGTTAGCAGAAGTGGGACCAGCACCTCCAGCAGTGAGCAGCAGCTCAGTACTAAGTGTGAGCACATGGGTGTTGGATAGGAGTTGGAGCAGCCTTCTGATCTCTGGGACTGTCTTTACTTACTTGTCTCTGTGATTTTTTAAAGCCCTTGCAACCCATATCCTGTGTTAAATCCCTCTCTTCATGAAATATCCAGACTGTAGCATCCTTCCTAAGACAATCTTTATGCTGTCACCAGTAATCATCTTCCCATTTGGATTACATTGCTCTCTATTATCTATGAATGTCCCTAAGGGGGCATTTAGTGTCCCCTTGTTACTGGACTTGTATTGGTTTTCTGACTTTTTATGTGTGTCTACTCTCCTTGTCGACTCTAACACTTTCATTTCCCTAAACATGCTTTGTGAGATATTTCCAGTCTCTACCTTGTCTTATTTTTCCTTCTACATGGGATGTCCTTGTCAAAACCCAACCCATCCTTTTCAAAAGGACTTTCAATTAATTCTAAAATAGAGAACTGGGCCAACAAATGAGCAGGTACTTCATAAAAGAAAAAAAAAAAATTCCCGAGAAAGATATGAAAGGATGTTTAACCTCATTAGCATTTGAAAGAAAAAAAATGCATCAATTTCCCTAATCATATTATTAAGATAAAAAGAATAATAATTCAAAGTGTTGATTCTAGAAGTGTGAATTACTGTACCCTATCCACAGCATAATTTGGAAATATGTATAAGGAGACTTAACGATACAGTAACACTTCTAGGAATTATGTTTAAAGAAATCATGAGAAGTGTGCCCAAGGACATAGGTATAAAGTTGTTTACTGCAGTTTCGTTTTAAATAGTGAACAATTACAAACAGTCAAAATGAGCTTGTTATGAGTTGAATTATATCTACCAAAAAGATGTATTGAACCCTAGCCTTTAGGAACATAACCTTACTTGGAAATAGGGTCTCTGCAGATGTAATCAGTTAACATAACATGAACTTATACTGAAGTAGGGTGAGCCCTATTCCAATATGACTGATGTCTTTATAAAAAGGAGAGAAAACACACAGACAGAAGGAAGATGACCATGTGACAAGGGAGGCAGAGATTGCAGTTATGTGGCCATAAACGAAGGAATGCCTGGGTTACCAGAAGCTGGAATGGACAAGGAAGACTCTTCCCCTAGAGGCTTTGGAGAGAGAGTAACCCAAATGACACACTGAATTTTGATATCTAGCCTTTAGAACTGTGAGAGAATAAATTTATTTTATTTTGAGCCACCCATTTAGTGGCACTTTGCTAAGGCAGCCCTAGGAAACTAATCATCTGGTTTTAAATAACCAGTTAATAAGACTATTATTCAAATTTATGGACCAACCACTAATGCCAAATATGAAGAACTTGGAGATTTTCACCAATTTCTGCAATCTGAAATTGATCGAACATGCAATCAAGATGCATTGGTAATTACTAGTGATAGGAATGTGAAAGTTGGAAACAAAGATCAAATGCAAAAACACAGTGCAACGCACTGCTGTCTAGTTGGATCCGACTCATAGTGACCCCTCCTTGGGTTTCCCAGGCAATACCACTATGGAAGGAGATTGTACAACCTTCCTTCTGAGGAGTGGCTGGTGGGTTTGAACCACCAGCTTTCTGGTTAGCAGTCAAATGCCTTAGGCACTACGCCACCAGAGCTCCTCAAAGAAGGATCAGTATTTGGAAAATATGGCCTTGGGGATAGAAACGATGCTGAAGAATGCATGACAAAATTCTGCAAGATGAAACCCTCTTATTTTCTCTTTAGCAAGACCTTTTTTTCAATAGTATAAATGGTGACTTTACACATAGACCTTGCCAGATGTAATACATAAGGAATCAAGTCAACTACATCTGTGGAAATTGATGAGGGAGAAGCTCAATATCATCAGTCAGAACAAGGCCTTGTTTTTATAACAGTGGACTTACATAATATTTGTATTCTGTGATTAACTTATTTCACTCAGCACCAAGTTCAGCCACTTTATGAGGTGTTTCACAGATTCTTCATTATTCTTTAGTGTTGCATCTTATCACACTATGTATGTGTACCATTAATTCATCCACTGATGGGCCCTTAGAGGTTGTTTCTATCTCTTTGCTATTGTGAATAGTACTCTAATGAACATGATTGTGCATATATTTATTCTTGTCCTAGATCTCAGTTGTGGGATATATACCTAATAGTAGGTGTGGTGATTAAGTTTTTGTGTCAACTTGGCTGGACCTGGTTGAGTGGCTGGGCAGCTGGTGGTAGTTATTCCCCATGATGAGACTGGCAATCAACTCTATGGTGGGACCTACCACAAACAGCTGAATAGCTGCTTTAGGGATGTGGTCTGCTTCCCATATATAAGAAACAGCTTTGGAAATGGTCTCTAGTTTATGGCACACTTGAACCCTGCATGTAGCTGTGTCATTCTTCAGCAGCCTGCCATGCTCTGCCAATCCTGGGACTTTCAGTGGACTTGAATCAATGGCCTGCTGTGTGGTTTGGTAACATCAATGCTGTGCCTTTTTACTTGTCAACCTTGGGTTTGTCAGTCTCAGCAGTCAGCAGCTGAGTGAAGAAAAGCCTCCAGCTTCAGTGAGCTGGGAGCAGGAGGCAGAGCTGCAACCCAAGGTTGAGGGGCTAGAGCCTGGCACTTTGAACTCGGACTTAAAGCCTCCATATTGTGAGAATAAACTCTTGTTTGTGAAGGCCATCCCATTTGTGGTATATTCCTGTCAGAGTGGCACTAGGTAACCAAAACAGTAGGATTGCTGTATCAAATGGTATTTATATTCATAACTTTTCAAGAAAGCATCATATCATTTTCCACAGTGGTTGTACCATTTTACAGTCCCTTCAGTAGTGTATGAGCAGTGTATGGGTATTTCTCCATACTCTCACCAGCATTTGTTATTTTCTGTCTCATTGAACTATGCTATTTTTGCTGGGGGGAGATGATATTTCATTGTTGTTTTGATTTGCATCTCTCTAATGGCTAATGATCAAGCGCATTTGTCCTTGTCTTTGTCAGTCACCTGAATATATTTTTTTATGAAGTGTCTGTTTATGTCTTCTGCCCATTTTTTAATTGGGTTGTTTGTCTTTTTTTTATGTTGAAGTGTTGAAGTATTCTATAAATTTTAGAGATAAGTCCCTTGTTGGATATGTCATTGCCAAATATTTTTTTTTTCCAATCTGTAGGTTCTCTTTTTATTCTTTTGGAGAAGTGTTTTAATGTGCATAAGAATTTAGTTTTTAGAAAGTCTCAATAATCTAGTTTGTCTTCTGCTGTTTGTGCATTTTTGGTTATTTTTGATAGTCTATTTACACCATAAATTGAGGCCCCTATGTTTGCCCCTATTTTTCTTTGATGATCTTTATAGTTTTAGGATTTACAACATTTAGGTTTTTGATCCATCTTGACTTAGTTTTTGTGTATGGTGTGAGGTATGGATATTGTTTCC